TGTAGATTTTACTTACAGTTATATATTTTAAGTTTTGATAGACTAAAATAGCCGGAAGTGATAGTTTGTTTATTGCTAAACCAAAAGCAAGACCAGTTAGTTGCACAGATCATTTAGAAAGGAAAATAGATTGCTGCAAGCTAAAGTTAAGAATACCAGTGCTACACACACTACAAAGTGCTTTTAAAAGAAAAATGTCAAATCAACATTAAAATACTGCTTTAGCTATAAAAAGGAGTAATAAACTAGCACCATTAGTGCCATTCACACTGTAAGAAGGTTGAATTAAATGTCATGTGCTACTGTGAAATCTCTGACTAAACAGTGTATAGAAGCTGCTATTTTCACGACTGGAAAGAGATTCCTACCTGTTTCATCTCCTGTTACAGCCATGATCAGCTTCTGCACACGAGTCTCTTGTTTCTCTATCAGAGCTCAACATGAAATGTTCCCAACTAGCAAGCATGTGCAAGATTACAGGCAGAAGTACTGACATCACAATGACCTCACTTGCTTACCATGGTCATTAATATGCTTTGTCACTGGAATAGCTCACTGGAACTGCAGTCCAAACAAAATTCCTTCTGCTGATATACCATTTTCCATACTTCTGAAACCTAACACTGTTTTCTTCCTAATTAATATATTTTCTTAGCTTACAAAAAACACTCACCACATCTCTATCTATAAAAATAAAATGAGATTGGACCTTGAGATTTGTAAAAATGTAAATAATATTTCTTGTCTTCTAATTTCTGAATTGCTTCTGTCTGCTCTAAATCTGCATATAACAATTAAAATGTGGCAACCCTCAAATTTATAGGACGTAAGGACATCTTTGTTCCCCTGCAGAAGCTTTCACTGAGAGACCCTACCAAGATCAAGACCCCATTGATCTTAACATGAACCCATACTAAAACTCTCTGGGTTAAAAAGCATACAATCTCTTGCAGACCATATTGGTGATATGTGATTATTACAAGGGACCTAGAACCAGGATCCATCAATTTCATCTTTCTATCTTATATAGGAGAATATCAATCAGAGGGGAGAGAAAAACACAATGCCCACTGGCATGGACAGGACTCAAGCTGGTGATGCAGAGCTGAAGGGCTCTGCACTGCCTTAGTTCTCCTTAGCAGCCCCCACCGAAATGCACCTTTGAGCATGGTGCTGCCTTCCAGAAAAAAAAGTTCTAACTGTCCTATAATTTCAGCTCTCTGGACATGGACATACATGTACACAGTATGGTACAGTAAAGAAGGACGGACAACTGGGGCACCAGCCCCAGGTACCAACCCTGAAGGGAAAACAAAAAGAACAGCAGGTATTCTGATACACAGCACTGCACTGTTCAGTGCAGATGTTCCTACAGGCAAAGTCATCCAACCCCTGCTTAAATGTCTCAAATACATGCTAGAATAGTGACACCCACTCTTCTGAAGACAGAGCTTGTAGTAACCAAAACACGAAGAACACATATACAACCACTGAACAAATATAAGCATACTATAAGCATACCCACTTTCCCATCCAGACATTCCCATTACTCCATCTGGGGCCCTTACACTACCTTTTATTATTCGTCCATATACTATTTTTCAACCCCACAAGTCAGAATTTAAAACCAAAACCTTCAGTATCACAGAACAGACTTATTTTAGGTTCAGCACAGTAACTAGCCTGACGACAATGTTTCTCTATCCAGGCCAGCTTATATGGAGAGACGCAATACAAATACTTGTGCAATCTGTTAGCAAAGCGTGAGATATTAGTGTAATGCTGGATTCCTGGTTTCTATTTTTTTGGCCCTGGAATAATACTGTGGTCTAGTTTTACAGACAGCACTGCTACAAGTTATAGCACCATCTCAATTATCTTCAGACTAAATCTAGTAGCACTAAACACAAGCCCATGAGCCTCCATCATGAGAACCACAGCACAAAAACGAAAGCAGCCAGACTTAATGAGCCATTTAAAAGAAAAATAAAATTTCTTAGAAATCCTACTTTTCAGATGGCACTCATTATAAACCTGTGTATTTGATTTAACCACAAGGGAAAAGTAGAGATACCCTAGTTCTACAGTATGGACTACAGAAGCAACTCATTTGGTATATCCATTATAGATAGGGTGACCTTAAGTCTTGGATTTTGGAGGCACTCTCAGCATCCTGGCCACTGAAGAAAATTGAAGCAGAAGTCCCAGACTGGCAGGAACCCACCTGCACGTGCAGCTTCTGAGTCACAAGCCAGACACATGTGGGCAGATTCAGGGCAAAGGGAGACTTCTTTAATTTTCTCCAGGGAGACCAGCCAATGGGCTGCTCCCTGGTCGGGACTCTACTGCAGAGTTACTTGTGCTGTAAAGTTGTGGGGGGAGGAGCCACAGGGTGTAGGCATGTGTGTGCAAGTGCATGCGTGTGTCCATCCTGCTCAGTCCCGCTCTTGGGAGCCACGGGAGGAAGGGGGAAAAGGATGTGCCATGCTGTCCTGCCTAGCTCCATTCCTGGTCAGGGGTCTGTGCATGTGTGCGTGCATATCCTGCCCAGCCCCACCCCCTGTCCCGGATTTCCCTCAAATTATTATGGTCACCCTAATTATAAACGTAATTGGCAAAGTTCATGAGATTGGTCTCCCTTTTATTAGACAACTAAGCTGCCGCAACAACCAATCTGAGGCTGAAGCAGAGCAGGAGCCTGCCTGAATCAGAGCAAAGGTAAACAGCAAAGGGTGAGGGGGCACAAGCAGATGGGGAGTGGGAGAAAGGGGGAGCAGGGAGACACGGGGTGGTGCAACAGAGCAGGCACAGTGGGGGCAAGGGGCAGGGATCAAGCTACTTGACTCCCCTCTTCTGCCTGTCCCTGCCACTGCCTCCCCTACCACATACCTTCCCACTGCTTTCTCAGCTGCAGTGCAGGGGATGAATTTAAGGCGACTCTCTAATAATTAGATTCTAGACATGGAAAATTATAACAAATTTATCAATTTTCCATGTCCAGAATCTAACTATTGGGGGGTTGTCTTGGATATGGATAAATGTGGTACTGTTGTGTTTTCTTTCTTATTCTGTTTCTTATTTCAATGTCTCTTGCAAAAAAACAAGATCATATGCAAGCTAGCCATATCCAGTAGTGAAGGCTTTATAGATGGAACAGCCATAAAGCAAAATGGTTTTCTTCCTACATTACAATAAACTCTGCTATCATAATATTAAGTGCACACACACCACAAAGGTGATTGAATCAGTCCTACACAAAGGATTTCTTGCATGTCCTTTCCAGTACTCCTGGCACACATTCAAGGATTTGTTAAGAATTACATACCCAGTAAATTCCAACACCTCTCCCTATGCTGACTGACGTAAATGTGTTGATTCCACGTAACAGACTATCAGAAAAGGCTATGCTAGATCTTGTGGGGTTGTTTTGTTTTGTTTTGGGGGGAAAATACATGTACTCTAGGCATTTTCACAAAATAAGAACACAGTTTGGAATTTTTTTTATACTGTATAAAATATAAACATAACAACACCTGAAATCCTGTATATTTCAACAGTTTAAATACCAGAACTTCCAATTCATGCCAGTTCATTACAATTCAAGCCCTGCCAGAGAACACAGCTTAGGCAAAGCCCCCATGCCAGAAGAGAGGGAGCACCTGTGAACAATCACCTAATTGCTTATTTAACAATGAGGCTACCCACTGTTTTCTTCTTCAGCCTGAGGCTATGGGTACTAATCTGTTCTTGCCCTCCCCTCCTCCTGCTTCCCTGCTGTGCTTGGCAGCCTTCGAGTTCCTGTTGGGGCACCACACAGCTTCCCCTCCCCGCTTCCCTTCTGGACTGCACCCTGCCCCATGCTGAACAATAACCAGTAAGCTAACCAGTTATAGATTCATAAGTTCATAGATGTTAGGGTCAGAAGGGACCTCAGTAGGTCATCGAGTCTGACCCCATGCCCTGGGCAGGAAAGAGCACTGGGGTCAGATGATCCCAGCTAGGTGCTTATCCAGTCTCCTCTTGAAGACCCCCAAGATAGGGGAGAGCACCACCCTCCCTTGGAAGTCCAATTCCAGATTCTGGCAACCCTTACTGTGAAGAAGTTCTTTTTAATGTCGAACATAAATCTGCTCTCCATCAATTTGTGGCATTGTTCGTAGTTACTCCAGGGGGTGCCCTAGTAAACAAACTATCTCCTAGTCCCTGCTGCCCGCCCCTGATGAATTTATAGGCAGCCACAAGATTACCTCTCAGCCTTCTCTCGCAAAGGCTGAAGAGATCTAGGTCCCTCAGTCTCTCCTCATAGGGCTTTGCCTGCAGGCCTCTGACCATACAAGTGGCCTTCCTCTGCATCCCTCTTGAAGTGTGGCACCCATCATTGGGCTTATTGATTAATCGTTTCATCTTCCATATCCCTAACCTTGCAGTGGCCTCCAACCTGTTCCCTATCCAGCTCCTACCAGAGACCTGGGGGTGTAGGAAACTACTATACAAGACATTCCTGTTACTCCCCATTGTCTGCCTATGTCCTTAGACCAACATGGCTACAACCTATACCCCTGTTACTCCCCAAGCATCTACAGTTTATAAGAATGTCATATAATCTTTATTAAAACACTTAACTATTAGAAAAGTCAGAAATTAATTTCATTTATTAAATGTGAAGCAACTTCACAGCAACATTCTACCAAACTCAAACAGCAGAAACTCTCCTATTGTTATATTACTATTGAACACCTTTTGCCAAGGAAAACAATGGGCATAGCAGAAAGCAATTTCATCACACTGTTCCTTCCTTACCACATTTCCTCTAACGTTCATTAATTCTTATGAAAAGAGAGCAGAGGCCTTTACTGAGCAAAGCAATCCATTCATCTCCTAACACTAAATTCTCAAATTAACAATTCTTTGCTCATTTAATACTGCCAAAAACCAGAACGCAAGCAAAAAAGCACATAATGAAAGCTTCAAATAACTTAAAATGTAAAACAAAACGATACCTTGGACAACAACTTGGCTCCCAGGTACAAAAAACTGCTGTGTGCCATCAGGTGTCTGTGCTGCATATTGCACAATTGTAGCACCAGGCTGAGGAGCTCCTGAATTCGTCATTGTTAATGTTTGTAATCCCTGGACTCCATCAGATGCTGGATTAGAAATCTGGATTGCTCCACCTTGGGCTATAGCAACTAAATATTGAAAGAGAAAAAGAGAAACATTAAGAATAGAAATATGTACATGCAAGATGCTATATATGCAACTTTTACACATACACATATATAATCATGCATATTTATATATGCAACTTTTGAAAGGTTCCCCAACCCCTTAGGCAGGGATTTCTAGTCATAGCCATATTTAAACAAATTTGTAGGGCAAATACTATGTTTGTGTTGAAATTGGCCTAGATTGATATATTTTGGCCTCCCATGTGTAGCCATCTCAGTTAGCTTCACATCAGTTTTGTGTCAGACTGGGAAAGCACTTCTTGGCGTATGTTTTTACGTTATATTCCTGAGGCTCTTAAAATGCTCTTCTTTTTATGCAAAAGGAGAATGATAGATGATAAAAAACAGAGCAGTTTCTTTCAATCCTTCAGAAACATGGGGAAGAAAGTTGCTGCCAATACCAACAAACTCGAGAGGAAAAATAGATTGAAATTGATCCAGCCCTTCCAAATGATGGAAAATACTTGGGTTTCAGAAAGAAGAAAGGCTGGGGGTCTGGAACTTCTTCCTTTTCTCACATGCAGGCTTAGTCTCAAAGGATTTAAAAGTCCTATATATGAGAATATTTGGGTATCAATATTTGACAATCAGAATCTATTCTATTCGTATGCAGTCAAAAATAAGTAAGATAACATATGTAAAAATCTTACCCACATTTAAATACTTCCATGTGATGTAAAGGTCTGCATAACAAAGTATTCTAACAACATTTAGTTAATTAGGAGTATGCTAATTTAAACAGATGTTCACAAGTAGTCATTTAAGAAGAGGAATATATTCATTTATACTCACTATGAAAGGAATAGCTACTCCCCAGGAAACAGCAAATACATATTTTTCTATCCAGATATTTAAAGTGCACTCATCACCCTAGTATCTAAATGGTGCAAGATGGCATACACATCTGCTTAAGCACACATTCAGCACCGCCATCTCTTGTAATCTTATAGCAAACCTCTCACATTTCCTGTTTTTCCTAAAGCCTCAGCTCCTTGGAGTCATTGGAATACATGAAAATGTCAGATTTCATTATTTCTAAAAAGGAAGTTTTTACTTTTCACAATTGCACAGAAAAGCTGGAAAACATGAAATCTAAAGCAAAAAAAAAACAAACCCAAAAAAACCCACCCAGAAGAGGGGAGTGTTGATATTTATTATTCTTTTAAATGTCATATTTTAAATAAATTGCACCCTTCCTGGGTGCCTCAACTCATGATTTGGCTGCTTGAGGTTGGCAATATATTTTATTTTTAAAAATAATGGCTTGCATAGCTAAAGGAAGATCTCTTTTGCTCATAATGCTAGGAGCATGTAGGGCTTTTAACATAGCAGACAGCCAGGTACTACTAATACACTTATATACCTCAGTAGAAGGTGGCCCAGCACTACAACCATTCTGCTCCATCAGAACTTAGTGAGTACCAACAGGTACCAGCTCCTCCTCTCTAAAGGCTCCTACCTGCATGACTGTATAGGGATCGTGCTAGATCCATCCCTTTTAAAAAAATGAGATCAAATGTCAGAGATAACAGGATGCTGTAGAACCTTTTTGCCAACAGCATGCCAAGATGATACTCAATGGTACAACCACCACTTCCTACTAATATTTCAGAATGCATAAGAAATTAACTCTTGGATGAAAAGCAGCTGGCCAAAGCTAAAACTAAACAAGCTATGATGGTCAAAATGGCAAAATGTTTCAAAGAGCTGGCTAAGAAGTTGTTTCCATCTTCCAAGGAATGTATACAGCCACCCTCTGGGTCCTATTTGGCTCCTTGTGAAATTTGGACTGGGTCATGCTTTTTTTTTTTTTTGCCTCCAGCTTGCTAAGAAACTTCATCTTTCTCCCTGACAAAGACCTGGATACAGTAATTCATGCATCTGTCACCTCTTGGCCGGAACTTATAGTTTCTGAAAATGATGCACAAAGTCCAACTCTGTGCCTAATTCCAGGTTAAAGTACTGGTTCCAATTTTAAAATTAAGGGATCATGCTGAAGTTTTAACCCATGAATCACCAAGAAAGTTGTACTCCTTTGGACAATATGCATCTCATAATCCCAGAACAAAGCACATGAGAACTGAATGTTTCTTTTGAGGGACTGTACCTATGAAACAAGCTTCCCTACAGAATCATTTGAATGGGGAAACTAACCTTCCGTAAGAAACACAGTATGTCTTTCCTCTTTAAGGAAGTCTTTTCACCCTAAGTGATATAATTGAAGTTATATCTCTTCCATTCCGCAACTCCAGTTTTGGGCTGCACACTTCAGAAAGGATGTGGACAGACTGGAAAGAGTCTAGAGCAGAGCAACAAAAGTGACTGGCAGCCTAGAAAGTATGATTTATGAGGAAAAGAGCTGAAACAGCTAGGGTTATTTAATCTGGTGAAAAGAGGACTGGGGGTGGCAGAAGAATTTTATAACAGCCTTCAAATACCTGAAGGGGATTATAGGGAGGATGGAGACAGGCTTTTCTCTGTGACCACAGGGATCAGGACTATGCACAATGGACTAAAAATTGAAGCAAAGGAACCTCAGGTTGGGGATTAAGAGGAACCTTCTAATTATAAGGGTGGTTAAGCATTGGAAAAGGCTAGCTAGAACTGGAGAATCTCCATCCCTGGAAGTTTTCAAGAGCAGTTTGGACAAACACTTGATTGGGCAAGGGGCTGGACTAGATGACTATGTGAAGCCCCTTCCAAACCACACTTTCCTAAGATCCTATTAACTCCCACCAGAAGCACAGCTCTGACCCTAGAAGAGACCTCATGAAGTCTACCAACAGCTTCATTATTACTAGAGACTTTATATAGAAGGCCCTCAAATACTATGGTGACCGGTAACAACACAGAAGCTAAACAGTGGATTCCTATATTAAATTGCCCTAAAGCTGGCACAGAGGTTAACTGTGGCATCCCCACACTGTGTAAGTTTTTTTTTTTTGCATGTCCTAACACCTCCTGAGGATACAAGAAACCTGATATTAAGTACTCTTCATCCACAACTGAGGATATCTGAGCCTCAAAATACAAGGCCCAAAAGCAAGAAGTCAGGCAATATATGGTAAACCCTAAATTTCTCTTTGCCATTAATTAGTAGCAACTTGGCCATCACTGATACAAATCTGACTGAATCTTAATTCTAACTTTTCCTTCAAATACTGGTCTGACAGAAGTGAACAGCATTTCCAGAATAATAACTATTCTCCAACTATTTGGGTTGGTCTAATAAAAGATATTAAATTCGCCCAAGGAACCTTGTCTGCCTATGTCCTTAGACCAACACGGCTACAACCTACACCCCTGAAGCATTTCCAGAAGCATTTTGCTACAGTTCTTCCCTTGATCAAGAAAATTAGTGCATCCACAATAGAAAGTGGACAAGATTGTTTTAAAGTTTTTTGTCTCTTTCACTTACAAAGGAGATCTTTTTCAGATTAAAGAACTAATAAACAACAGAGTAAAAAGCCTAAATGGAAAAAAGGTTTTAAAGACGAAATGTCCAAATCTGGCCCAGCATGGCCTCTGAAGGTTGGTTTCTGTATCCTTTAACAGTAACTAGTATTTAAGCAGGCTATTGCAAATACACTTAACAAATACTATAGTTTAAATGAGTCTAAGCATGGAAAACATGTTTTATGCTATTAACTTGACTTTTTATTTAGACAAAAAACTGCAGGAGCCAGGACTCTTATAGACTAGGCTCAGGCCGAAGTGCATTTAAATAAGATTAAATTAAATTTCCTATGTACTCTGCTAATTCAAGCACACTGTTGGTGATGCTTTTTCTCACCTCCTCTTTCCAAAATCCAAAGTCAAAGTCCTGAACGAATACTGTGAGAAAAGAAAAAAATGCTACACTGTCTGAAAAATGCTACAGTACAGATGTGCAGAAGTATAACACAAGGAAACTGATGTGTAATTCCATTTTTTTTAAATCTTATTAACAGGAATTTGTGCTTATTTTCAAAATTTAAACATTCTGATTTTTAAACATACTGATTTAATTATAATAAAACAGCACTAGTTTAAAGAACTTGCATAGAATTTGCCACAAGAGCAATTCTTTGACATAAAAGGGGAAAGATCGCCATCCTAAAGAATATTTTCTCCAGAGGATCATCATATGAAAGTAAAAAAAAAACAACCGAACAACACACAGCAAACCTATATAAGAATGCCCACAACTGCCACCAATATCCTCAGACCCAAGAGGTGGAAATATCAACCAATGTAAGCACACAAATTTTTCAGGCTTGACAAAAAAGCACCAAATTTTGAGCAGCTTTGCCAAGAAAAAGACAAGGACCCAACTAGTGAAAAACAGGCCCCCAGGTGGATCTGACCCTGAGTTAAGATATCTGAATTACTACTTTCTCATAAACATGTAGGTTTGAAGAATCACTGCATTGTTTCTGCACAAACCCAAAGAAATTCTCCTTGCATGACAGAGATCATGTTCACTGAAACCATAACAAAACTAATCCAATGCAAGATCAAAAAGATTTAAGAGGAAATGTTATATTTCGGATGACAGAGAACAGCAAGATCTCTGACCAGGAAAACACAGAAAAGCTGAGCCAAAGGAATTTTCACGGTGAAGAAACATTTATTCTTTGTTATGTTCAGTAAGAACAATCAATATTGATTCTTGATGTCAAAAGCAATTTAGGGCCCAGTTCTGCTCCCATCACATCAACTGCCAAATTCACATGGACTACAATGAAGCAAAACTGGATCATAATTAACTTGAGTATTTATTTAATTATATGTACAGAAGATTTCTTCATAGCATATTATTTTAATTTCCAAATGCAGATAGTATCTTCTGACATTTATTTTCTTTTATTCAGCAATTCTTGCCTCATGCTTTACTTCTGGGCTTCCAAAGACATTCAGGTTCTCCCGGGACAGCTATATTTTGGAATGCATTTTTCACATTTCTTTAAAACAAATTCACTGAGAGTTGTCTTATGAAATTGTACTTTGGTCAAGATGACTCTACATTTAAAGCTGAGCACAACTAACAAAATACCTTTTAAAGCTGACTGCTACAAGCTTGTGAGCGCTTCCCAATAGTAAGACCAGTACGAATTAACTCTACACCTTGCAGGAGTGACAGTGTCATAGAACTGAAGCTCTTACTCCTTAGATTCAAAGAATTAAAAGATACTATGGAGAATTCATTTGTTCATCATTATAGCAGTGTAACAATGGATCTGAAGAACAGGAGGTAGTTCAGCGCTAAATATACATTTTGTTTTCTTAGTGTTGAAAATCATTTTGTTTTACCAATTTTAAAAGGCAGCTAAAGGAATTCTGAGAATGTTTGACGTATTAATGTTTCGAAAAAATATTCTGTCAATTTTTCAATTTCTATTGTTAATGTATTAATAAGCTTCCTTTGTTCACAGAAGTCATTGGAAGCAGCAGAACTGCCTACCACTTTCCTGCCATTATATCAAAGGAAAAGCACTGCTCTATTTAAAAGAGCTCTTCATTATTTCTGAATATGAGAAGACCTGAAATATAACCAACTCACTTTAATCTTCAAGTTTTGTTTAAATTCTATGAAAAACAACCCATGACAAGAAATGACTAAACAAAAATGAAACCAGCAGAATGAGAGATGAAATGTTATAAGTAAATTTCAAATAAATCTTTAGAAAATATTGGGGTGAAGCTGAGTTTTCTAACACTGTTTAGAAAAAAGCTCAGTAGGTGGAGACCACAATATATAGGGTTAACTCCATAGAGAAAAGTGTTATTTCAATATTAAGGTTGTAAAATAAGGCATAACTCAAACAACAGACAAGACAGAAACTGAACTCCAGCCCTGTGCTTGTGTCTTAAAATAGGGTCTCTCTCTCTCATTACAAATTATCTGCCGATTGTAACTGTTATAAAATGTGATATGCAGTAAGGTACAGTTGGCTTGAGTTGAATATTGACAGAGTTAGAGACTTAAATACAATGAAAACACTAGTTTATGTTATACAACTTTATGTTGTACTGATATTTTGCACCAAATTAGCAAAATAATATTAAATTGTCATGACAGAAGTGAATCATAGTCAAGTACAATTTTGCATTGCACTACATTCATGGTTTAATCCTATTTTCCAAACAACGTAGACATAAAATACAACATTAAGAACAGATACAGAATGAAAAACAAAATTTCCCTCCATGTACAAGTACAAATATTTGTGTACATAAAAGACAAGAGACACCAACATTGTCACTTTCATCCAACTCCTCGCTTTTCAACTCTTTAATGGACTATACAGTTCCAAAATTACCCCAAATTTGGGGAATTAACAATGCTATAGGATGAGAGGAAAAAGACAAAGACGTTTTCTTTTTCCTAATGTAACCAGGGCAGATGTAAGCTGCAATTCACTTACACAAGTATAAAGATACTTAGTTTGCTTTTACATATTCACACTTCACTATTTGACTACGCTGCTTTTCAACTTGGCAAAAGACAGAAATTCACTTCTTTTTTTTAAATTACAATGCTATACAACATTTTCGCATACATACTGTATTGCCCTGTGCTAGTCTGATATAGACTGGTTGGCACTCCCATTGCAGGGATTCCAGATGGTGCTCCTTCTTCCTCTGACTTCTCCTCTTCAATCTTAGGAACACCAGGAGCATCGGAAGATAGTTCATTCAGAATTTTTCTAAAACATAATCGGAAGAGAGTTCATTCAGAATTTTTCTAAAACATAATTTAAAAAATTTGAAGTATATTTTTAAATCCACACTTATAAGAAAAAAATATTGAGTGACTGACTTTTACCAAAGTTATGACTAAGTACATGGCAGTTTAAAACAAGCATGAACTTACCGATATGAAGGCCTTCTTGATAGTATTTCTCTGCGTTTTTGAGAATCAATTACACCTTCAGATTCTGCAGACTCATCTGCATCTGCAGCTGGTGCTACCTACAATACCAAAATTTCTGTATTATATGAAATGATGATTTTCAGAAGCTGATAACAGGGTGGCTGGTTTGCAAGCAATTTCCATGTTTACAATGAGATGAAGCCTCGAAAAACTGGTGTACTCATTTCTGCAGACTATAGGACAAGTGCCAAATTTGAATTTTGGTACTTCTGTCATATATCAAGATCAGCAGGTAGTCAATGGAGCATTATGGATCAATTTTAATGTACAAGGAAAGTTAAATTAAATATGAAATGCAAATATTATATGAATGCATCTTTCACAATAACACAATATTGCTGATATAAAAACATCTAAAGTTACGTCACAGGCACAGTACAGAGGAAAAAAAGAACATGTTTAACAACATAAATGACAATCTAAAGATATGCATATGCACAACAGGACCAGTAAATAAAGCTGTGGAACCTTTACAAACTTCTAACTTTTGGGAGTTTATATGGGAGTTTATAATTTAACTTTTTCTTAGAGCTCCATTAGCATTGTTTTTTCATTTTATTTTCTCTTTAGGAATTAAAAAGTGACAGCCTGCAGCTAAAACAGTCTCTACCTTCAGATAGGATATTTAAAGTCAGTTTCAATTTTGCATAAGAAACTTTCCCAATTAATTTAATTGCTCAAATCCAGCAGCATAAATGGGGCACGGGACCAGCAGAAAGAACTGAGATAGTTGGCAGACCCTAAGCACTGAGTGCCAGAAAGCAGCACTTGTGACTTCAGTGAGGAATGCTTTCAGAAAGATGTTGCAAAATACGTGGACTTGAGACATCTCATCCACAGATTATGAATAGACAGCAAATACACCTTCAAAGAGCTACAAGTCAAAGGAGAAATAAAAAACCTGAACTTTTTTCCCCTTACTGACTTTACTGTACTCTATTTCTATGCACAATCACTTTACGCAGGTGGCACCTGATGGATATGATGTCAGACATCTTAGTAAAACGCAGTGCCTACACTGCTCAGAACCATAAGAGATATTTCCAAGTACATGCACATAAATAATTTTAAGCTACACTGATTCTTCCCATCCCAGCCAGATTCTGCATTCTCAAGCAGTTTGGCTCATTCATCTTCAGCATCAGAAAAAAGAAATGAACACTGTCTTACAGTATAATCTTAGAATTGCCCCAGCAAAAGGTATAGGAAAGTCAAAGCAGACTTGGAACATATTTGAAGTTTGAGGAACAGAGCAGAAGCATGATGTTTTCCAGCAACAGAGCGGTGTCTTGAAGACACACTTATGCCACAAATTGCTGGAGGTTTAGCCTCAAACACAGAAAGCTCATTGAGCAAATGACCAAAGTCAATGGAAGTCATTTCTTGGCTATTTGTACATGCCACTAGATAATTACATCAAGGAAAGGGATTTACAATTAACTTTCTGTAAGTCCTGAACTAACAGCTTTTCATCATATCAAATGGAAAATCAGAGTCGCTGATATACAACCTAGAGCCTGACAACCTTGGCTCAAGTCAGGGCTCTTACTCCAGATCTGGAAGCCCTGCTGGCCCATACAAATGGGAGCCTGGCAGCCTTGAACACCCTGGGACCCCAGATGGACGCAAGCATACTAGGCCTTCCTAACCCCTGAGGTATTATTGTAGGCTACTCCTAAGGAGGGAGGGCTACTCTCTGCTCCAGGAGTTAGGGGCAGCTGGAGACATTTCATTTGGAAAAGGACAAACCAAAATGTGGTTGTTTTCCTGAAGAAAATTCCAGAGTCTCCATTTTGCATGCTATGGCTATCTCTGTTCTTTCTCTACTCTGGGCCACATCTTCAAACTGTTCAACTCCAGTGCACTGTTCCAACTTTTCTATGGAAGTCAAAGCTCAGTATCAGGGTGGAAGACTCATCAACCCCTCTTCTTAGACCCTATCCACTCCTGTGCATTTGCTCTTGATGCCTGACCAAATGCAGAGATGGAGCGAGGGGAAAAAAATCTTCAAAACGATGATCTGAATTGTAAAGTGTTCTTAACTGCTTTCCATTACAAAGATCTATGACTTCTGACAAGTGCTTTTTCCAGCCAGAATGTGATGATACTCTAAAATACTCAGTCTAATCAGGCTCTCTGATCAGACCCACTAAAAGTAGGAGAAAATATTGTGTGATGGCCCAGACTATCATGTTGCCAACATGCAGATGGAATTAAATTCCTTTTCACAAAAATCAGTTTATACCATTTCCTTAGTCTCCCACACTGTAGCAGGGTGTAGATCCTGGTTCAACACCAACTGTATAAGGAGATCACGCCAAATGGTAAGGGAAAGTGCTTCAGCAATATGTGTTTAAGCGTCTTCACTTCTCCTGCAGTGGGGCCTGCCAGCCCATCAGATAGTTGTGCAATCCCAAAGGACAGAATTGCCCTGCCTTTTTTAAATAACAGAACAGGAACCAAGGGAAACAACTGGAAATAGCTGATTGAGCACAAATGTTTCCCTGTGTCTACTCTAATTTTGAGAGAAGGAAAAGCAGCTGCAGTTGATCCAATATCCATTCCAACACTGTAATTAGCTGCTATTTTACTAATATATGAGGAAGCTGGCAAAAGACTTAGAAAAATTCTTCCACCTTTGGGTGACTTCAAGCTGTAGGGCAAGTATTCTATTTTACTAGGCCTGTTCTGGACTATACCAAGTTGAAGAAAAATAGTAAAATAAACTAGGAAAGGCTCTCAAATGTGTGTTTGCTTTATATGATAGTGCTCAGTCTGCTGAAAACTGCTGCTGAAAAACACTTCCACAAAGCAGTAGTTTTCTTTGGAAATTTAGACTTATTTGGCTCTCACAAGGTTGGTCCAGTCCAAACCTGTGGCTTCCTTTAGCCACCTGTAAACATGCGATCCTTGAAACCTGCCAGGTCTCACAGATGAGCATGGCCAGAGGTTCAGTACTTCATTCCCTACTAGCCAAGAGACTGCACATCTCTCACAGATGCATCTTTTGTCATGCTCATACAACTCTTTATCTACCTGCGGTTAGACCTAAAAGCTACTCAGAGGTTCTACACATGAAGGACTGCTCGCCTTTCAAGCAAGCTGGTGAGACAAATTGTCCTTGTCCTCTTTATATTGCAATAATTGCCAATAAATTTCAGGGTGAAACGTGGGGTCTTCCTCCAGTCCTAAGTAAGAGAAGGTAGAACCCAGTTATCCAAAGATATCACCTCCTTTTGACAGAAGCACTTCAGCCACCTGACTCATAAGTCTGGAGAAAAGAGTGGGCAAGATATACTCTACTAAAGGGAAAAATATCTAAATCTTAAGACTGGCCACTTGAGAGTAGTTACAAGATATATTTGTCAAGTCTTCTCATTGTAAAAAGCTGTGAACACTCTTGACATTTAGGCTACTGGTCCTGGCTTCCCAACCTTAGCAAGGTCAAACTCATAGAGGCTTGCCAAATAAATGCTGATTGTTTCAGACCAATTTTTTAACACCTATACTGTGTATAGATGCAGTTGTGGACTCTACTTATACACAACAAATAGTATTAACAGAAGCTCCTCTTCTAATATGTTTGGCATCCAGATACTTTAATTGGTGCAAGAGTTTTTTTATGCTAGGCTCTCTACAAATTCATTAGGGCATTTGGAAACTTTTCAACTCATGAGACAAGATATGAAAGTAGTGAAACAGCAAAAAGAGAAAATAAGTGAGATAAGCCACTAAAGTGGAATCACGATTTACATAAATTAGATGTTGTGCAAGTTGATGGTTCCAAGACTCCGGTTGGTATTTTCTTGTTACCTTTATGAAACAACCTTTACAGGCCACTGTGCCTGCTGTTATGAGTTGGCAACCAGTCAAAGCCTCGAAGTAAAGGACAAATCTTCTATTCATTGAAAGGAAAGCTGCAAATCCAAAGTGGAAATCAAAGAAGAAAAAGTGCCACATATCATTCCCACATACATACAAAAATCCATAAATAAAACAAGCAAAAACCCTGCTAACCTGAACAGCCTGCATTTGCGGCGACTGAATAACTGATGGCTGTGTGGCTTGAATCACTCCCTGGACGTGTACAGTTTGTCCAGAAGCCAACTGCACTAGAGTTACAGCTGGAGAGCCTCTTCCAGCACTTGATCCAGCTACAGAAACCTGTAAGAGTTATGATTATCATGTTTAATTAACACGTCCTGATGATTTCAGAGGTCACTTCAAAGGGCAACCTTAAGACAAGTTAAATGTTAACTTTCAATCCAAAATCCAAGGCAAAAATAACTCCACACATTAGGCTCTTACTAGCATGACTCAATTATTTCTATTGTGCTGATTACGGCTTTTAAACTGTCTAAAATGTTGAGCACCAAAAATAAAGAGATACCCATCATGTATCTTGGCCCTGTAATATTCTACAACAAATCTTGCCTTTCTTAGGCTTTACCGCTGCTTTTAAGGTTATTGGACAGGAAGAGAGGTACAGTCCAGATTTGTTTTAGCTATTGTGAACTGGATAAAAAAACTTCCTTCTGTATTCAGAGCTACATGGATTCATTATTAACTAAGCCTGTGATTGTGACTTTTCTTCCTGGCTTGGTTAAGAACCTGAAGAAAACCCCCGAGAGATCATATCCAGGTGCAAGATTACTCCAAGACAAAATATCTGTGAACAGAAGAAGGTAGAAAGGTGACACACAAGAAAAGCTTGTTGAAATAAAAGATCTAAGCTAGATCTGAAAGGTCATGCCCAATGTATTCTCTTGCTTTTCATATTCCACCTTGTTTCCAGAAGGGACCGGCAACCTTTTCAAGCCACAGCCCAGTGCAACTTGGCTTCAGTCTGGCACAGGCCAGGGAGCTTCAGCAGTGCATCAAGAGCGAGGGGAGTTTACCTGTGCCCACGCCAAGGCCAGGCAGTTGGGAGCTGCACCAGGACTACTTTTTCAAGCCCTCTACTTCCCACCTGGGACTCAAGCACACCTTCCAACTCGAGGGGAGCTGCCCTGGGGCCAAGGAACTGGGAATAGCACCTACACTGCTGTTGTCACTTATCTTTGGCACACTACTCCCTGGCTTAAGCATGGGAGCAGCTTCCACCCACTGGGGAAGCTGGGGCCAGGCAACTGAAAGATGCGTCTGTGCTGCTGCTGCGTCTTTCTGTCCCCTCTATTTCTGGCTACAGAGCAGGCACAGCTGGAAGTTGCCCATCCCCAGCTCGGTTCCCCATCAGATAGAAGTTGCACCTGGAAAGAAGCAGTAACAGTAACAATGCGAGCAGAGCTTCCAGCTGCCTGGCCCTACCGCAGCTCCTCACTGCCCAGCCCCAGCATGAGATCAGTAGAGGCAAAGGCTTCTGACTCCACAGGCCAGATACAGTCGCCATATTCAGCCCATGGGTCATCTGTTGCCAACCCCTGATTTAAAGGATTTTGATGATGATACCTGAGCTGTTAACCTCCTTGACTATGAAGTACAGCATACTAAGACACCATCAAGAATACTGGATGATGAATCAACTGTTTCTGAAGAAGCAAGATGTTCAGGCAAAGTAGGCAGGGTATTGTAATTTCCTGATACCTTATTCACTAAATAATTGTTGAATTCTAAGTGGGAAACTAAATAGGCTCTCTCAAGAAAGAAGGTGCCTTCCAATTTTACTTAACACCCAAGTTGAGAATTACTAGACCAGACTATAATAACCCTGCTGAGTGGTAAAAGAATGGATAACTGAAGTGAGATCTGGATGACAAGGGACAGGTTGAACTATTCTGCCAGAGGAGATAAGACAGTTGCAATGAAATCAAAGAACAAATCAACAATGTAATCAGGGATGTATTTAGTAGGTGTGTTGGTCTGAGACAAAAAGAAATGCAAAACTCCAGAACCCTTGGTTCACTGATGATATGTCTTATTAGACCATCTAAGAAATTGCAAAAAAAAAATAAAAATCTTTCTTTGCAAGCTTTTGGGCGCACACAGCCTTATTTAGGCTAAGGACAACCCCAAGACGGTAAAAATCCTCTTAGGTAGAAAATAAACTTCATTTTACACAGGGGAATTTTGAGGATGGAGATCTGTTCCCTTGGGTCTGTAAGAGTCTTTTGTGCGAGCTGCTCCTTGATGTGCAGATAAAGCTGTTCTCATCCTTGGAGGCGTCAGATGTCAGGAAGGCAGGGAGGCTCAAAAAAACCTTTCCTTCTCGTTCAGCAATGCAGCTTATATTTCCAAAATTGGTTGAAATACAGCATCTTCCACATTTCTGGGATGTATTTGGTAGCCATGTTGGTCTGAGATAAAAAGAAATGCAAAGTTCTAGAACTCTCGGTTCAGGGATGATACCTGTTGTTAGACCAACTAAGAAATCACAAAAAAAATTCTCTCACACACCGAAGAGTACAGATCTCCAACCTCAAAATTCCCCTGTGCAAAATTAAGTTTATTTTCTGCCTAAGAAGATTTTTATCATCTTAGGTTTGTCCTCAGCCTGAAGAAGGGTGCATGTGCCTGAAAGCTTGCAAAGAAATATAGTTTTTTGCAATTTCTTAGTTGATCTAATAAAAGGTATCATCTCTGAACCAAGAGATAACATGGGATGGGTCAATTACAATCTTAAATGTCACTGCAGAAGTGTCTAAGTGCTAAAGCATTTCTGTTGTCATCAGCAGTGTGTAGCAACCAGAGAGGATTTTAGGAGTCTGGGCAAGCAATATTCCATCCACACCAGGCAGCTGCTTTTTCTTCACCAGAATTCCTCCAGACACAAAATATTTGGAAGGAACACACGTTGTTAGTATGCAAACAGCCGGCACATTTTGGATTCCTTACTGAATGGGAATGCCAACAGCCCACGTTCAGTTTATCTACAGCACTATTTAGCAGATACTCCAGATTAGAGTCTTCACCTCCTGAAGAAGAGGACACCCTAGCAATAAATCTTTCTGTACAACGAAGTGGCTCACCTTCAGTCTCTGCAGCATAGAAGTCTGCCAGGTAGGGAAATATGTGAACCAGTTCCTCCTCATCTTGGGTCAGGAGACACGCAAGTATAAAGCCACGAGAATGCTAATAAAATGCTCCCCTCCGCCAGCACATTAGGCCAAGGAACACGGCTCTGGGTTCATAGCAGGAATAGCTAGAAGACCTGGTCTACAAATGTAAATCTGGACAGAAGCCACTAGAGAAACAAGTGACTGAGGAGAGCAGCCAGCCCTGGCTCTGGAGGAACAGAATCAAATGGCAGAAGGCGCAGAGCCCATCAAAAACAAGTCAAGAGGAAGTGCTAGGCCGAGCCATAACAGCAGGACACTATAGCACCCCTGGTGGCCAGTGGGCTAAAATGCATATTAGTCTGAAAAGCGGGTTGCACTGATTTCCCACAGCCTTCAATAACCTTCTGTTAAAGATCATCCAGTGGCCTCACTATTTACTGTCAACTTTCAACTTTACAGAAAAATGGTTTTTTTCTCTAGCAATTCTAAACACCTACAGCTCTCCCAGACATCAAGATCCATCTTCCTACCCCTATACTTCCTATACTTGTGCTGGCAGCTGTAAGAGAAGAAGGCTGAAGGCAGGGGATAGATCAGTCTGCCTTGCAAGTACTTTTCCCCTTGGCCTCTGTTGTGCCCCCGAGATACAAAATATTGGGCTAGATGGACCTATGGTCTGACCCAGGATGGCATCTGTCGTGTTCTTAAGCAAGTTATAAGTGCTCCGCACTTTTGAAAAATTGGATCTTATGTTTCTGATGATTATAGCTGAAAAAGAAAACAAACCAATGTGAGTTGATTCTACACTACCTTCCTGAGCCTACCAGACAGAAACAAGGTAAAAACTTCTGCCACTTGTCTTACTAGATATAAACTATAAAAACTTAAACATCGTTCATGAGTGATCACTTTAAGTGAACTATCCAACTAGTGTGCTATCTTGCCTGGCTGAATAGCACAGAAATTATAGATAAGAAAGTATCTTTTGAAATCAACTAATACAAATAATGACAAAAAGTCTTCTGCCTAGGCATTGAGTAGAATTCCTGCAGGGTTCAGAAGGTATAAAGGAAGAAGTGGTCTCAATCACCTTTCAGTTCCATCCACACATATAGACATTCTTAAACTGAACCTCTGAAGAAGCAAGGACAATGACAGGAATGTGAATATGCAGAAGCAACACTCCCTTAAGAACAATTTATTTCAAGTTGAGGTTTCCACTTTCAGAAGTTGGGCCATCCCCTACAAAACCTGATGCAAGACTTGTAGGTGAGCTAGGACTACAGAACTTTTAAAAAGAATGAGTCTAGTCTGGGTAAAAGGTCTAGAGAGTATTAAGTGAGAGTGCAATCTCATTCCTCCAAACTAAGTGGCACAACAGAGTAGAAGTGGGGGAGGGGTTAAGAGGAAAATGAAGAGACTAAAAAGAGACTAAGCTTTGAGCAGCAGTCTTGCAAAATTTTCAGATGAAGGCTATGGGAAAGCATGTTATGATATGTCCTGATGTCTGAATACCAGCTACCTCAGTAACTGCTACATGTAAGCCCCACTGGAACAAACTTTGAGCTGAGAAAGACAGACCCTCGGCATCATATTAACATGGTATAAAGTAGAAGGAAACTATGAACAGGTTTGGTGTCATACAGACAACAACCTAAGGGCCCACTGGACACAAAGAATGGGCCTGATACACTTGAGTACAAAGGAAGCTTGAAGAAACTACTAGCTTGAAAGAGGTGGGCATAAGAGTTCTTAAGTTCCATGACCGGACTACACTTCAGATTCATGTCTATGAATACAATTATTTTCACCACCTGGTAACAACAAAAAGTAAATAACAACTAATATTTATAAAGGAAACCTATGTTGAGTAGGCAATCTCAGTTCAGTTCCTAATTCACACGAATACACATCAAAACAGGCACTGATACTAATTACAGAAGACCAGGATAACTGAAGAGCTTTCAGACAGAACTACTAACATGTACACATGACTATAGAACCAACTAAGACATCAATTCTTTGGCTACTACACATCTGATATGTGCACGCTATCACAGAGATTCACTTGATAAATACAGGAGGACAGGTCTGTAGGCAAGCTGGCAAAAACCATGGGAAACCAGAGACTAGCAGAGGAATAACGCTCTCAACATTAGCATTATGCTAAAAAAATTATATTGGAGCAAAATAACTAACTCACGAACCCTGCCTGAGTAAAAAAACTTGAGACAAAGCCACAGGTGCGGAATCAAATGGCTCAGGAGTCCTACACTATGCTAAAGGATTAGGATATAAATACTAATCAGTATACTGAAATACGAAGTATAATTCCTTTTTAACATTTTCTACTATAACTTTTACTTGAATATTTTAAGATGTAAGACAATATATCATCATTACAAATGTAGAACATTATCGTATCATCTGTCTCCCTTATTTATCAGCAAAATATTTTTAAATATCTTTTTAAACAAATCCCAAAACTGCTTTTAGGTGCTTAGGGAAGAAACAGAAATATACACCTCAGTACTTACATGTTGAATTAGACTCATTTTGAGCAAGAAAACTAGGGGTAAAAAAACAAAATTTATTTTCATCCAGCTTTTGGGTTGCAAAACATCTCCAAACTCTAGGACATAAGAGAACACCACGTACCTTACCTACCTCTAACTTTTCTGGCTGTCTCAACTCTTTAGGTCATCACATGAATGGTGTACAGCTCTATTGCAAAAACACGGGTAGAATGATGCCTATAACTTTCCACTGTTGTGTCACTCTGAGAAGCCCCAAATTCCCAAAGAGCTATTTTTGTGAAGAACTTAAAATAATGTACAGCATTATCTGTGGCCCTTACTCTGTCCCATCCTTAATACAGAAGATGTGTTTTGAGATTCAATTGAATCCCTCCTATAAGAAAATGAGATGCATGTATGACATGGGGAATATAATGATCAGCAGTAAAGTGTCATATTTATCTCAATACAGGTAACAATTCTAAATGTTCTTTATTTTTGTTTGCTTCTCTTATCCTTCTGCGTTTCAGATTACCTGAGCTATGGGAGGAATCTGACTTTGGCCTGGCAGGTTTTGCATGCGAACAGCATCACTCTCTGCTGCAGACTCTGCAGCACTTCCATCTTGTTGTGATTCAACCATTTCCATGGTCATTTGTCTAAAAAAAATAAGTAAAATAAATACATACAGAATGCAGTGCAAGGAACTGAAATCAGAACTGAAGAACATACTTATTTGAATATTATTAATTCCCCCTCATTTGTTCACAATTTCATCTTTCGAAAGTATCTGACAAAAAGATCAACCCAAGAGTCTCATAGAATCACAGTATATCACCATGCACTGCCTATAAATTGGAACTCAAGTTCAGTCCCTTGGCCAGGGAAGGAAGTACTATAGTCAATACCTTCAGTATACAGTACAGAAGAAGAAAGAATAATTTTCTGGCAACCCATTCTTTCTGGATGCTATTTCTGATGGGAGAGCCACATCAAGCCTTTACTGTGTGTCGGGCAAGGAAACAAGGAGGGGTGCTGGGGCTAAAGAAACTTAATGGTGTAAAGCAAAGAGAGTATTTTGAGAAGCCCTTATGGGCAAGGTAGAAACACCTAATAATTCTTTATTATTTGCTTCTTTTATAGGACTAACTAAATAGCTGCTTGTGAATAATAAGTAGATTCAATACAGTATAGGGTCAGATGACTTTGAAGGGTTATCTAGGAGGAAATTATTAGAAAATTAATCTTTTCTGAGTTCCTTTAGGTTAAATACTGAAAAATATTATGGATCCCTCAATCAAAAAACACAGATGGACAAATTTATGTAAAGAGTGATTTTGGATTACACTTGTGGATTTTTTTTTCTGACTTCATTTTTTATCTATTTGCAAAATTAGGTATGAGAGAGAGATAGGGGAGAAATACAGAAGTTAAGCCAGCAAAATATCTGAAGTGTTCAGACAGGTACTGCACAAAAATTCTACTGATCTTGTCTGCTGAACATAAACATTCCCCCCCCTAGACAAAAAAATAATTATTTATAGTTTTTGTCTATCTTCCCTTATCACAATTCAAAATATGACGATTTAATACTTGAAAACAGGACTAATCCCATTTCAAACCAAACCATATGCATTTGGCATCACCACTGGGTTGTGTTGTGACATCATTTTAGATGGTATAGAGCTTACCTCAATTGATAAGTTACACAGGAGCTTAGCTAATTGCACAACCATCAATTAACACTTATGAACTTGGAGGAAACTTTCAAACATATCAACTTGATAATTACCTTACAGTTATTTTTCCATGGTATTTCTTGACACACTTGCTCATAGTGGAAGTACGTGTGTTTTAAAACAAAAGCTTGGTTCTCCTCAGCTCTCTCTCCCTCCTACTGAGCACCACACTGAAGTTATGATGTTGAATTTGTGATGTCACAATCATCACCATGGCAACAAACTGATATCATAAACAGCATTAGACATTATGACAGGTTCAAGCAGTAAGAGACAGAGAGAGCTGTCAAACACACACCTCAGATATTATCACAAGTGCAGAGGAAAAAAACCATAAGGATAGGAGAACTGCTTCATTTGGTGGTTCTCAACCTTTTTATACTCAAGGCACTCCTCAGAAAATGTTAGCTCTTAGATTTCACTCAACTTTTGACTACAGAAAAGTTCTGTGGCAAAGAATTCAGCAAGACCACAACAGGTGAGAAAGTGTTTAACACTATAAATTCCTACTTGAAATCTCTGGGTTTATCTTCTGAACAAGGTTTCCACACCACAGTGGTTAACATTGCATGGCATCTCATGACACCTCTGAAAAAAAATCTCAAGGCACCCCAGGGTACACTGGCTCCCTGGTTGAAATTTGCTGGCTTAGATGTTGCTGCCATTTCCTTACAATGTATTTATGCTCTTTTGTAAAAGCTGGGGCCTGAACAGGCAAAACCCAGCTATAAAGTTCAACTGTTGGCAAGTGAGCAGAACTTTCTGAAGTTTATTCTTGGGTCTTACACCATCATGCAAAACAGGCAGGGACTGTTCTATTTCAAAGATTCTGAGGGTTCTGAAAAACAAATCTAGAGACACATTCATGAGTTAACTACTATTATCTTAGGGTGCAGACACAAGTGACAATTTTAGCCTGATGTGGCCACATGAAGTTGTCTATAGCTGTGACCAAACACAAATACATAGCTGCAGACTGCTTCAAAAATGGCAGATTGGGTGAAAATCTGACCCCTCATTGCATGAGAGGTCAAATGCAGATGTTTCAAAACAAAGCGTCTTCTGTAGCTTCTGTCTGTGCTGCCTGCCAGCCTTGAGATGTTTTCAGAACGGGGGGGCAGGGAAGGAAAGGGAGGAGTGAGTTTGGTTTGGGGGTTTTTTGGCCCCTGCTGGAGGGTGGGGCAGGTGTATTAGAGCACCCTGGTCCAATTCACCCACCCCACCCAGCACTGGCCAGGAAATCCCTAGAACGAGCTCCCGCTCCTCCCCTCCTGTTCTGATACAGGGACAGGATGGGAGAGAGGGGGGCCGCTGCTAGGGGAAACCAGCTGCAGGCTCCCAACCCACAGCTAGATTCCCCTCCCCTTTGGAACCAATGGTCCAAGGGATCATTGTAATTCAGAACGCTTCCTGCAAAGCACTCTCAGTTACAGTGGAGAGTTGAACTTCCTGTCTGCACCCTCAGTGTTTTCTGGAATGCCCTACTTCAGTTAAGGGATCTGTCTCTCATATTCCAAACACGCTCATTACAATGCTTGATTCTAATGTGGAAAGGGAGGAAACTAATCAAATGGTATCTCTGGGCAGCAAAATTATAGGTAACTTCCCCTCCCGGCACAGATACCATCATGATTAATTTTACAAGAATACCCTGCCAGTATGTCCCCTCTGCTGATCTCAGCTACATTAATGTCTCTTGGTAACTAGGTTCTAAACAATTCTGAGCTTTCAAGGTTAGAACTGCCTTCTTACCATCTACCAGAAAAATCTCAGGAAGCCAATTCTGCTCACAGAGCACTGGCAAGCAAAGCTCCATTTAAATTAGCCTGAACTACAATCCCATTGTATCTAACTGTATCTTTCTACACTATATGCAAGGCTATCTTGTTGACTCACTACATATTACACAAATAACACTGCGATAATAGGCAACGTTCTAGGAAGAAATCCTCCCTCCCCTAGTAATCTTAGCATGCCCTTAAAACAGAGGCATGAGGACTGGACAATATATATGAATTTACCTCTGAAAGAATGCCTCCATAGACAACAAAACAACTTAAATACCAGAGTGAATGTAATCTGTATGCATTGCCAACACATTCACTACATACAATTAAAAATGTGATTCTAATTATTGTACACTATGCAGGTCCAAAAATATACAAGTATATTTTATATTCAACATAATCTGCCACAGATATCCAGTTAAAAAAATTACTATTTTTCCTATTCCCACTATGTGTCCCACAGATTTCATTTACTGAAAGCCACTTTTAATGCTTCAGAAACTGATATATTTCCAGGTGCTATTTCACCGTTTTTGACTTGGTTTGTATTCTGTGTAACCAGTACATCCATCAGTTAATTGAACAGTATTTCTTCTTAAGTATCAAAAAGCCAAAAACAAAATGTTAGCTAGTATCCCCTAGCCAGTTTTGTAGTTTCCCAGATAGTATTTAATCCTTCATTGACTGCCAAGGGTCACTCTTTTTACAAAGCAGCTTTATTTTACTATTTGCTTTTGAATTTAGCAAGACCAGCAAGGAACATATCAAGTCACTTCCATAGTGTAGGAATCTAACTACTTATCACTACAAGTCAACTGATTTTACTCTTGCATCTATGTTATTTACAAACAACGAATATTCTTGTCTATGTTGTTGTATAAATGTATAGCTTAACTTTAATCATGAGAATACAAAATAAAAAAATTAAGAAAATATTACTAGAACAAGAGGGAGAACTGAAATATTTATTTTTAGATACTCTGTACTAAACCAGTAAGAACTCACTGGCAAGTACAATATACCTCTGCAAGACATAACTTAATCAGTATACTATATACACTGTAACCAGATCCACAGGTGGAGATCTACTCGAATACATTCTCCAAAGATATAGTTATATATATTCTGGGTCTCAAAGTGGATAGATGGGTAATTGATATAAAAAAACAAATCAACTGAAAAGCAAGTGATGAAGTTAGCCATCAATATTTTATTATTTAGGAGCATAATTTGTCTAAAATTAGGAGAACAGCAGTATTAACAATGCTTAAAAATGTAAAAGGCAGGTGGGATTAATTCAGTTCAATCCAGAGACTACCAATATGAAATGCGTTTTCTTCCATCAATGTAAATTCAGACTTGGGTAGAAGCAAACCTACCTATTATCAAAGAAAATGCATCAACAGATTATTTCTCAATTTCCCGATTACACCCTACCCTTTCTTTAAAACAAATCCAAAGATTTTTGAAAAAGCATTAAGACCTACAGTCATGTCTTTAACTGAATATGTATAGCAAAACCTTAGTTCAGTTTGAGGGGGAAAATCATTTAAAACAGGAAACAGCTTTATTTTCTTTTAGAAGGAAAATTGAACAAATACAGTGTTAGAGAAGACAGAATTATCTTTAATTCAAAAGTTTGAAAAAGCTGAAGAATGCACTGCAATCAAAAGCTTGTCTAAGTCTAGCTCAACCATGCCACTGGCCCAGTAAAGGATAATCCCCCCCAAAAATCCTTGCCACTTGCAAAAAGCTGCATTTTATATTAACAGTTAAATTCTATAACAGAACCAGCTATTCCATTTGACTGCACCCAAGAGATGTACTGAACTATCATCAACTGATAGTTTGTAGTACAAATTGTCAGAGAACCCATGTTTTAAGGAAATGCTTTCATCCTTTGAAAGCAGACTAGGAATATATGCTGCATAGTGATTTATTTATCCTGTGTCAACTGCTTTAACCTCCTGCTCTCAAAATGTATTTCAGGTTACGGGAGTGACATTTGGCACTAGTCTAGTACCAGGACATTTAAACTCCCAAAGGACCTCACTGGCATACTGCTCAGTTCTGAAAAAAGGGCAGCATTCCAGAGGTGTTATTAGTACTGGATGCTGTAAGGAGCAATATTTTTAAAACAACGCTCAATAAAGATGTCAGACATGAGGGGGCCAAGGCCACACCTCCTTCTACCTTTCCTCCCCAAAATAAACCCCACACTCAGAATATTTATTCCAATAGATGTGATTTGTCTTATCAGACAGAGAACAGAACTTTTTGGACAAAAGCCAGCTGAGAAGCAGCAATAGCCAAAAGGTAAAGGTGATCATATGATCTACAGTGAGCAAAAAGTTATCAGAATCTGGAGGTGCGAACTTTAGCTCTAGTAGATCCTTTTTTGTTTTGTCTTGAGAGACAGTTGTTAAACAAATCCTTAACAAGAGCCAATGCAAGAAAGTGGCTTTGAAAAGGAAAAACTGCATACCATATCCAATCTTGCAGCCCTATAAGTAACTGAATATGTATCTAAGTATTTAATGTTTTGTTGGTGAAATATAATATTCAAACTAATCCAGGACTTGAAGCATCTGATTAAATACTCGAATCATTTTATGACAACATGTTTTTTATTGCAGTAGTAATACAGCATGATACAGTACAAAACATGAGAAATTCTTTACAAAGGCAGCTTAGTAGTGAGGAAACTGGAATTTAATGAGAGGATTAATAAACTTGATCAGGACTTTAGTACAGGCCTCTCTGAAGGCTCACCTCTACAGGAAGTCATTGCAAACTAAGGCAGGGTGGGATCTGAACACATGTTAGTTCATCTGCGGTAACTCCCTGTGTAACCTCTTTGGCTAGAAACAGACTTGGTGGGAAGGAAGGGCTCAGCTCTGCCACATACTTTGTGGCATAGCCCACTCACTTCACTGGGCCCAACATATTGCTCAGCGTCTTGCCCTTGATGGGACAGGACAAGGGCTGACATGAACTCCTGGCTGTCCCTGTTACCTGGGCCAGCCCGTAATTTTTTGGGGGCCCCTGCGAGATATAGCTTTGGGGGCCCCGATCCATCAACAATTCAAAATTGTGGTTAACTGCAGCATAAACTCACTAAAATAAAACAGTCGGGGCTGGGCTGTGCACACGTGGGCTGCACGGGGTGGTGTAGGGGCAACATGTGCAGGGATGCCTAGGTTGCCTCCCTGGGGCCAGGGCGGGAACTCCACTGCGCGGGGAAGGTGCTCCCTGCATGGTGGGGGCCCCTCCCTGTTGCCTCAGACTAATGCTGTGGGTCTGGGGGCAGTGGGGAAAAGCGCTCCCCCACACAGAGCAAGTGGCTAGACAGGGGAACACCTAGCGTTCCC